TGGAGGACTGGGCAGCCTCGGGTGTCTCGGGTGGGAATAGGAGCCTGGGAATGGACAGCTAAATTGATGCTTAGCTGTGTGTAAATACTCCCACCTATGCTGTACGTGTACTTCCATGTGTAATACTTTGATATGCATGATGCAAATAGCAGTAGGAACACTCTCACTGTATCAGTTTTTTTCCAGTTCATTACATAAAGTGACAGATATTAATTGCAACTTAAAACTCGTCTGATTGGTTTTTCTCATATTTAAAGGAGAACAAAGACCTATGGTATTAATGTCTGAAGATGAGCATGTTGCCTGATGTTGAAAAGACTTATTTAGTCATTAGTCACTTGTGCTCAGGGATTTATTAGTCATGGTAATGTCTCCAATTAGTTGAAGGTCAGAGAGCATAATTAGGGCACTTTTTGCCTAATTACTGTTAACTATATACATGCAGTTTACGGTTGAGTTTATGAGGCTACCTGAAGTGTTATAACAACAAGCACGTTAAGAAGTGAGGTCTCTTTCTTATTTATATAATCATTAAAATCAAGATTAACACCTGCAGTAATAGATGTAAAATACCATCTTGCCATGGAACAGAAATGTTTTAATGTCTGATGTCATATTTTTGTTCTAAGTCATCGTCTCTCCAGACATTCTGAAAAAGTTGAGCTGAGTGAACTTTGTTGGTAAAAAATATATTTTACAGTAAATGGAGAGGACCAAGTATTATGTTCTGTGTATAGCAAAATAACCTTTAGATGAACTCGGAAAGGAAAAGAATTCCTCTTTAATTAAGTTTGCCTTTCTTCCTGGGCTTGTGAGATAGAGGGGGAAGTGCTACCATTAAAGTGAGGGTGGAGTTAATTGACATTAATCTTCATGTGTTTCTTAGATTTATTTTAACTGCAGAGAAGTAAAAAGGTGTTCAGCCCAAGTTAACTGTTACTAAATATTTGAACGGCATACCTGAAATTTACATTTTATTCTCTGGTTTGGAATGAAGTTTGCTGTCTTCTGTCTTTCCTTCAACCCCATTCCAAACCCTGGAGAAAAAGTTGGACTTTGCAATGTGAGACACACAGAAACTTGTGTAAAAGGTCAACAGTTTTGACCGATCTTGTTTTCCAAAGTGAATGTTTCTTTAAAGAACATGATCTAGCAGCCTCGGTTGGATCCTGGTAACACCATCTCAGCTGATCCTGCTGACTGTGTAAATCTGAAGGGATTTCTACCTTTGAAACAGAGTAGTTCAAATCTATTTAGTATGACAAAGATCAGTAATTCAGATTCCTAGAAATGAATATGTACACACTGTCTGTCCTGCTGCCTTTGTGTGTCTAGGTGCTCTTTTGGAAGAGTTTTATGCAACTCCCCAAAACTGTCTGGATTGAGAATTCAAGTTGGCAGGTGTTGTGTGCTCTGCTTCACTGGAGGGCATGCAGAAGACTTTCTATATATTCTGGTCACTTCCTTTTTCCAGCCAGCATCATTCCTTTCTGATCTCAGTCCTGTGGCTGTGCGTCAGTGGCTACAATTTAGGAATCAAAAGTGTAGAACTGGGTACCATCAGCACCCAGCATACTGCAGAGATGTTATAGTCTTTATTGCATGCTCAGTGGTCTTGGGCACATTTTAAAGAAGAGTTAAAAAGGTGGTATTCTGGTAGCAAGATGGGTTAATCACAGTCACTCATCTCTGAAAAGGCCAGTAAGATAGGAATAGAGAGAGTAAGAATAGCTCCTTTCACTGTGTAGAACAGTGATAGTCCAGTTCCTCTGCATTTGGTTATATTAATTTCTGATTTGTGTTGGTTCCTTTGCTGGTTTAGCTAATGGATTAGTGAGCCACAAGCACTTGTTAACCTGGTGTATTGGTATGGAAGTCTAGTGTATTTCTTTGCTAGATGTTGGCACTTTTTTCTAGATAATTCTAGATAATTTTTCTTGGGGGGGGGAAGATGACAAGGCATGATATTTTCTAGATAAATCCAGATAGTTCCATGTAAATAGTAGGAAATGCTCATTTTAAGCCAAGACTCTTGTCAGACACAAAGTAAAGAAATGTTACCTCTAATAAAAGTGCCTCCTTAAATAGATTTACTTAGTAGTGGCTGGAAAAGCTGTCAGATGTTGGGATGCAATTTTTCCCTCTCCCCCTGGAATTGCATTATTAATAGCTTTCTGTAAGCTGTCAGTGTCCTCATCTGTGTACCTATTTCTAGTTCAGAGTTTTAAAATTGGAGGAGGACCAGAGGTCCTCCAATCAAGCAAGACAGAAAGTGAAAATCTGAAATGTATTTGTATTTTTTTTCCTTGTTAACTTCAAGTTTATTTAAATACAGTAAATAGCCAAAAAGAGAGAAGTAAAGAGCAGGTGGCTCAGAGAGGTTGTGCAGTTTCCCTCCTTGGAGGTCTGCAAGACCCAATGTGATCAACCCCTGAGCAACCTACTGTGACCTCGGAGCTGGCCCTGCTTTGAGGAGGAACCTGGACTAGAGACCTCCCATGATCCCTTCCCACCTGCATTGTCCTATGAATCTCTAAATAAAATTAAGAGCTCTTCAAAATGTCAAGACATTTGAGTGAGTGCGAGGTATCATGGTTGTAACTGCTCTTGGGTTTAGGTGGGAATGGTGTGACCTCCTGTACTTTTCATCTGGCTAAATCTATGCTGTTCTTAATAGCAATGTGGAAAGAACATTAAAGCAGGCCAAAATTGTGACACCGTCACTTCAAATTCTCTGCAAATAATTGGGCTGATCCTGAGAGTCAGGTGCCTTGGTCTATACAGAGCTCTGGTAGTTTCAATGTACTTTCTGCTGTTTGTGGGATGGAGGACAAAAAGGGGAAGAAGAAAAGGTCAGTTTTGTAGTGGGCTTGTCTCTTACCTTAGAGAGCTGCTTATAAATTTTTACTCCTCATCTTCTTAATGCCCCTGGGGAAAGGCTGGGATTGCCTCTGCACTCTTAGCAACCATAAGCTAATTTATATAGTAATTAGATGACATAAAGTGCAAGCAGACCAAAAATATATATGTAAAAAAAACCTGCCTGGTAACGAAACATGAAAGAGATAGCAATAGGTAGCTTTGAGGGAAAAAGAGTGTACATTTACAAAACTTAGCTTCCTACTTCTTTTAGTGCTCCCACTAGTGGGATCCTGTTAATGGGAAATGTTAAATATTTAATATCTGACATTTCTATAATGTCTATGGAGTCCAGTAAAGATTAAGCATTTTATGGTGCATTTCAATTTAAAAGAATGAAAGCGCTTTTCAGACTGTTACAGTGGAAGCTGTCAGTGAACCTTGTATTTAGATTGCATATTACTTTCAGCTACAATAGACTCTTGTGACTTGTTTGCAGCAAGCTAGGTATGAAAGTCCCGATATCTGAGCAGTGCCTTGTGTTCATCCTCTGGGAGCCTACTGAGCTGTGGCAAGCTCTCTGTTGCACCTCCCAGATTAAGCAGGCATGCCAAACCCACTGAGGAGTTTCCACAGCCACGATAGTCTTGATTTTCAGTGAGACTTGCTAGTGGTATCTGAGAGGTGATGCAAGGTCTTACGAATACGGACTGTTTTGGTGCATTCCCACAAAAGAATGCAATAAGCGCCAGGTGTGCCTACTCCATCTCTGTCCTTTCCTGACTTTTTCTGTCCTTTCCCCCTGAAGGTGTAGTGTTGTCTCCGTGTGGAACATGCTGGTGGTCTTCATTCCTGTAGGAAATTTACTGAAAAATTCCACCCTTAGTTTTGGGGGCAGCGTATGTTTGTGTAGTTTAGAAGCCCTTAAATCAGTTTCTAATAATATAGCAGTAATATTTTCAGGTTTGGTGTACAATACAAATTGGTACGAGGACAGTAATTTAATTCCTTTCTTTTACTGGAATACCTGTGCTTATGTTAACATCGGAACTGATTTATATGGATTGCATAGGTTCTGTAATAACTGCTAGCCAGTGTCCATTTGTGAAGATACATTGTGTGACTGTCAGAGTTACTGCTGTCAGTCTGATGCACTTTGCTTGACTTGAAGCCCATAGCGGTTCCCTGAAATAAGCTGGATGAGTAATATAGATTGCAAGCTTTAGCACTGGAGGAATACTTAAGTCCACACTCATTTGATTCAAATGGAAAGAAAACTACTTCCAGGCATTCTTTGACCTTTTGGTGATATCTGAGTGAATCTGCAGATGCAACCAAGGTATTGCGATTTTTTTCTAACGACTTAGTGATTAACTATAGATTTCTGCTTATCTAATTAAAAGATAGGCAATAAATGAATGTGTGTTTCCTTTGTACATTTGTTGCATCTTGATAAAATAAGTAGCTAAAAAATGATCTTCTTAACTGAAAGGAATGGTACAGCATTTTAACTATACCATGCATGCATGCAGATACATAATTGACATATGACTGCAGCTTCTGTGAATGTTTAGTCATAGCACACGGATGTGATGTTTGTTTGCTTTCTAAAATTTGAATGGAGTTGAATAAGTATACAAGTCTTATTTTTTATATCATAGCTAGAACAGAGGCTACTATGAAGGAGATTCTATTAATGTTCTTGACACCAAGATGTATCTATTATCATGATTAAGCATCTCTTAGAAATATTAGTACCATGACTTGAAAATTAAATACATGGGGGAAAAGCTTGGGAATTACATTTTGTGTTTTAAAACAGGAAAAGGCTGGCAGTAAGAAGGTGCCTACTGCTGCTTTTATGGGTTTGACTCATGGCTTGAGTTTTTCTGTATGGGTGATGTGTTAATGCCTCTCTTGACATGTTTATTAGCTTACACTCTCTACTGCCATAAACCAAAATGTTGGTGTTTTAAATAAGGGCCTGCCTCTTTCTGTTGGCACCAGAACACATTGGATTTTTATAAAGTACTCTAAATAGTGTTCAGTATTTTATCAGTTTCTTCTTCACCTCTTGTGTATTTAGTTTCACTGTTTGGCTTTTTTTTCCTAACCTTGTTTTTTTTATTCACACACCATAGAGCTGATAAAGCAGATGATGAGGATGATGAAGATCTAACGGTGAATAAAACATGGGTCCTTGCACCAAAGATTCATGGTGGGGATGTAACTCACATACTGGACTCCTTACTTCAAGGATATGACAATAAGCTTCGGCCAGATATTGGGGGTAAGCCCATAAAATAATTCAGTGTATAGAAGATATGAAACAGAGATGGCATGTGTGTTGTCAAAGATGGCAAAAATCCGCTTAATGCAATTTTTAAAATTTAATTTAGCAAGCTAAATGTAACAGCAATAAAATGCAATGGTTTTCTGGAACTGGTAAAAATAATGTTCTATGCAAGAGTAGATTTTTAATGTTCTGTTTACATTCTCTCTTTCTTATGTAAAGTATTGCTTTTTGGGGACATCTATAATTTTTGGGGCAATCTATAATAAATGATTAAAAGGCAATTACAGTTTGCTTTGCTTAACTAGGATCTTCTGACAGAAAGAATTGTAGATATAAACCAGCCATGGCTATTTAAAAAATTGTTCTTGAGAATTATTCCTTGATAGTGTTACTTTTACGGTAGAAAATGCATTTTAAATGTGTATTTTGAGCAAATTTAACTCAACCCAATTCCCTTCTTCCCTTAGTTCAGATTTTTAAAAGCTTCATAAGAATCTAAAAATATAATTTAGGACTATATCTTTTCTAGAGGAATATAGGAAGGAAGACTGCATTACTATGGATCAAACTTTGCAGCTAATAGGAAGGCAATTTTGTCTTTCAATAGTCAAAGCATCAATTTGCATATAACTATTAAGTGTAAATATTTGGAAGAATCTTGTGTTGAAAACATGGAATACATGAAACCTTGCCAGATCTTGTCTGCCACATGCATGCTGGATCAAACTAAGAATTTATTTTCTCTGAGGTTATTTTCTCTGAACTGTGAAGGGAGAGGTGGAGGACATAATTGTTTGTTAAATACTTGGCATTCCCTATCAAAGGAATGCCATGTAAGTCTGTAAGCTGCTTATACCATAAACAATACAACAATCTAGACTTGTTTCATTTATGTAGGAGAACAGAGAGATGCAATCTCAAACGAAGTATTTTCTTTTGAAAGCTTCTGGCAAATTGTTTTCTTCCCCAAATTTCTTAGTTCTGTTTTATTGTTGACTGTTACCCTGAAGATGTTGAATGGCAATTTTTCTCTCACTGTCATAATATAATCACATGTGAATCTCATGAAGTTTGTTGTAAGGCTTTGCCTTCACATTCATTTAATTGAATTCCTGCAAACATTTGGACAACAAGAAAGGTCTTCCAGCATATTTTTCCTTAAATTCTCAATGTGTGACAGATGTATAGCATTACTTTTTTTTCCCCCAACTGCTTGGTGCAACATACAGCAAAGGGATTATGAGGGAATAAACTGTCTCCACTAGGATTCCTTCTAATGATTAACTGGTAGATGGGGATGAAAGAAAAGAGAATTCTGTTTCTCTTCTCTCCCCATAAAACTTAGAAATAAATGGAGAGAAAATAGAGGAAGAGGAGTTTATTCTGACATGTCAAATGGATTTAGATGGGCATGGAAGAATTTTGGTGTAATCCTTACCTTCATTTTTTCTGGTTATGTACTGATCCTTGATAGGGCAAGAACTCTTGACTTTTTGTGAGTAACTCAGTGTACAACTTTTTGGATTCCAAATATCAGTTCCTGAAAGAGGATACTTGGTTCTACCTTCTCTCACATAAACGCTCCCTTTCTTTTTCTTCTTCACTTCTTGATGGAATACTTCTGTACCAGTCTGACCTTTGCTACCTGGGACCTGCCTCCATCCAATACATTAAAATATAATGTTCATGAATAATCAGCCAGAGTAATGAGAACAGGAGACATTTGGGAGTATTCACTTTGTTGCCAGGAGAGCAAATGTTAAGACCGACTCTCTTCTGGGTGGAGGGGAAGTTGCAGACTTCTGCCACAAGGCAGAAATTTTGGACAACATAAGGTAAAATTTCCAACTTTGAGTGAAGGCATCGCATTCTGTCCAGCTGCTTGGCAACTGCAGCAGATATGTAACAAATAGAAAAACAAAATCAGACTATAGTGCATTCATTTTAGTCTGCTTCAATTATGTGGATAAAATCTGGTGTCAGATTCCACATCTTCAGAGTATATGTCAGTACTTGTACAACAAGGTTATTGAACTGGAATTCTAATTATCTTTCAAAGCAATAATATCCCACAGAACATTTTTACTATTGAATTACAAAGCTCAGTTACAATAGCAACATTTTTTGTTTTGAACCTGGCCTTTTTGGGTTTGAATACCAGAGCAGATTTTTGTTTTCTTCCTGATGTTGACACAGAATTTCAGCATTTCAGAGTGAGATAAGGGGTTTCATTGTTAAACATGCAGTTAGTTGAGGGAGATGATAAAGGAGACCCAAATGAAAATTGAAACATCAGAGGCAATACTGAAATTTAACAGGAGAATACCACACTGTCATTTTCTGTTTGTCTGATTCAAATATCCACAAGTTGTAGTGATTTCTTAACTGCTGCCCTTTGCTATGTTTATTAATCTTACTAGCCTTTAACTCAATTTATGTAATATACTTTGAGGTGTTTGGAGCATAAAGGAACTAGTATTAAAGTATCTTCTGCTCAGTATGAAGTAATAGTAGCTACCAGATGAAGTCTCTTATCTGTAATATAAATCCCTTTAATTACAGATACAACCTTGGAGTGTTGATACAGTAATAAAGCAGTATTATTCTCAATGTAATGTTACCTTTTGGCTACTTGATTTTATAACCACACTGTTTTAGCTTCAGTCCTGCATCAAACCAGCTGTTATTTTTCAACTTTCCTTTTTAAAGGAAAGAATTCTGGCTGCATACTGTTCTATCTCTCACACCTTAGGGACACTGATATATTAATATTAGCCCATCAATGTACAGCACATTTTTTCCAGTTATGTCTCATGTCCAGTGTTGTGTATTATATTGGTGAAACACAACTGATCAATCTGAAAGTTTAATTAAAAATAGGGAATAATCGTCACGTATCTACAACTCTAATGGAGTGTTTTCAGCCAACAGTTTGAGGAAAGTCATCACTGATAGAATTTTTAAGAATAGTGAGCATGATTGCTCATGGACATAGAGAAATTGGGTACCTAGAGAAATCTGGATAGTTGTAATTGCCCTATAAGCAGGGCATGGGTAAGTAATTGCATCTCAGTGCACTAATGTGAAAAGCCATGTACTCAGGGATATAAAGGATACATGAACAAAAAGTGGGCTTTCAAGAGACTAATAGAAGCAGTAATTCTGAAAAGATAAGGATATTAGGGGGATATTCTGTTGAACAGGTGCTCTTAGTGTAGCATTGATGAAAGGATGATATAGGCAGGAAAGTAATAAGCCCAAATAAGCAGGAAAATATCAAGTAAAGGTAGAGTGCTATGTATTCTGAGATGAAGAATATTTTGCAAGAATTGAATGAAATTGAAATACAAGAGCAAGATGTAGAAGAGCATATGCAGTGACTGTTAAAGGTACTGGATGTGTGCACTGCATAGAAAATGATGGAAATAATAAAAGTGGTGGGGTAGGAGTATTTGCTACAGATGGGTTTCTTTTAAGGTAAAAGGTAAAAGAAGAAGTGTAGAGAACAGGGCTCTGCTTTCATCAAAATCACTTTGAAAAAATTCTTCAGAGATGGAGCTGGAAGCCTGCTGTAGACACTTGAGGATGAATTTTCAATATAGATAGCCTTATAAGTAATACTCTTAGATAACTGGTAAGGAGAATTGTATTATTCCATTAAAAACTATTACAAATTGAAAGCCTCTGTTATTTCTGAATGTAGTAGTTGCCTAATTTATTTGCTGAATAACTGCTTTATCACCAAGAAGAGATGCTTCTTTAGGCAATTAATGAGGAGTTATAGAAAACATGCTCAAAGAAAATAAGCCTGGATGAAATTATCAAAAGTGGTCTTAGTTTAAATTAAATAGCATGATAAGTAATAATTAAAAAAGGTGATATATCTTAGACCTTCATTCCAAAATGGGGAATTGTGGTAAAGTATGGGAACTGGTTAGTGAATTTAGGTGGACTAACACACTATTGGGTAATACTGAGGATTGGAGTAATGAAAATGGAGCAATATTAAGCAATAAAAAGTAAAAAGTGCAATGTTCTGCCCTTTTACAATAATGATAATAATTTCTGTCAGGAGATGGGCATTTATAAACTGAGAATAACTGATAAGGAGAGCTCTTCAGTGTAGCAGGCAGAGATATTTCAAATCAAAAGCTGAAAATTGGGCCTGGATAAATACAGACTAAAAAAAAGGCACTTTTGATAGTCAGAGCAATTACTAAAATAATTTTTCAATGACTGAGGTAGATTTTTATCACTATGATTTTTCTAATGGAGAGTAAACAATTTTCAAAATACAGATTTTGAACTCAAACTGGGTTTCAGAATATGCTTGTGTATTGGGTTTGCATGGCAAGGTTTTGGTAGTGGGAGAGCTACCCAGAGAGAGAGTGGGGTGGCTTCTGTGAGAAGCTGCTAGAAGCTTCCCCCATGTCTGACAGAGCCAATGCCAGCCGGCTCCAAGACGGACCCGCTGCTGGCCAAGGCCAAGCCCATCAGTGATGGTGGTAGTGCCTCTGGGATAACACATTAAGAAAGGGGAAAAGTTGCTGCTCAACAGCAATTGCATCCAGACAGAGGAGTGAGAATATGTGAAGCAACCCTGCAGACCCCCAGGTCAGTGAAGAAGGAGAGGAGGAGATGCTCCAGGCGCTGGAGCAGAGATTCCCCTGCAGCCCGGGGTGAAGACCATGGTGAGGCAGGCTGTCCCCCTGCAGCTCATGGAGGTCCATGGTGGAGCAGATATCCACCTGCAGCCCAGGGAGGACCCCATGGCGGAGCAGGTGGATGCTGGAAGGAGGCTGTGACCCCCTGGGAAGCCCGCGCTGGAGCAGGCTCCTGGCATGACCTGTGGCCCCGTGGAGAGAGGAGCCCATGGTGGAGCAGGTTTGCTGGCAGGACTTGTGGCCCCTTGGGGACCCACGCTGGAGCAGTCTGTGCCTGAAGGACTGCAGCCTGTGGAAGGGACCTGCGCTGGAGCAGTTTGTGAAGAACTGCAGCCTGTGGGAAAGACCCACATTGGAGAAGTTCATGGAGAACTGTCTCCCATGGGAGGGCCCCCACGCTGGAGCAGGGGAAGAGTTTGGAGTCCTGCCCCTGAGGAGGAAGGAGCGGCAGAGACAATGTGTGATGAACTGACCATAACCTCCATTCCCCATGCCCCTGCCTGCTGGTAGGGAGGAGGAAGAGAAAATCAGGAGTGAAGTTGTGCCCAGGAAGAAAGGAGGGGTAGGGGAAGGTGTTTTTAAGATTTGGTTTATATTTCTCTTTATCCTACTCTGATTTGATTGGTAATAAATTAAATTAATTTTTTTCCCCAAGTTGAGTCTCTTTAGGCTGTGACGGTAATTGGTTGAGTGATCTCTCCCTGTCCTTATCTTGACTCACGAGCCTGTTGTTATATTTTCTCTCTCCTGTCCAGCTGAGGAGGGGAGTGATAGAGTGGCTTTGGTGGGCACCTGGCATCCAGCCAGCCAAGGTCAAGCTACCACAGCCCAGGGGTTATGCAGCATCATCACTTACTAGAAAGGTAGTGGTCCCTGCCTGCTGAGAGTGACTTCTTTCCATGTCTTGTTGCTTGTCAGGAAGTTCATTCTTGCTCTTGAATTTCAGGCACAATTGTTGCTTATTTACTATATTTATTGCTTGGGACAAGCCTGTCCTTATCTATGTGCTTGTGTTAGATGATGTTCAATCTCAGTCAAATCTTTTAAACCAGAAGAAAAGTTTAATCTAGTGAAGAAAAGTTGTCAAAGCAGGACATCAGAAAGTGTGAGTAGATGTCTCTAGACCGGGCTTAGCAAACAGGTTCCCTGTGTGCTTCAGCTACATTAGGAGCTGATGAACTACCCCTTGGGGGCAGCTGCCCTTTGCTGCTCTTTTCTCTCTCTCTTTCTCTTGAGTATGCAGTCTGCTGTCCTCTCACCTTCTTACTTTACTGTAGCCTGGCTCATATTGTCTTCCAGTGTAAATATTTAAAGTGTACAGGTCCTTTCTCCCCTTCCTTAGAAGCTTCTTTAAGTTTACATTGTTGTCTTGCACTTCACACAGGATGTGTTAAATAGCCCTCTTCCTACTCATAGTGTTTTCAAGGCTGATACCAAATTTTTGAAGTAAAATAAGAAGCATTCACAGAAAAGTCTTCTCAAACCATCTTTCACTGTTAGCTCTTTGTGGAGAGTAAATGAACAATAGTAATTATATGGATGTCAAATTAGTGTCAAGAATGTATTTTCCTCCAGCATTTGTCATTTCCATGGACTCATATCACTTCTAGATCAAGAACACGAGAAGAACAAATTCTTTCTTCTAATTCACAGAAGTACTTTGTTCTGTACCATACAGAAGAACTAAGGTAACAAAACAGCTTCTTCCAGTCTTCTTGAATTGGATCTCTTTCTCTGGATCATTTGGGTCAATTAAAATAATTTCAACAGAGGCAGATTATCAGACTCTTCACTGGTTCTTAATAGCTCTAATAATCTTACTCAGAACAATATGGAAAAGGCAAATTGAACTCCATGGCACATTACAGGAGAGCCCTTGTGGCAGATCAAGTACTGCTCGCTGCAAGCTGGAATTTCATAAAATTGACACAGCCCCCATTAAAAACTGGCTTGCTGACAGATCTCAAAATTTAGTTGTTAATAAGGAAATTTCCATGGCTGGGCTGTCTATAGTAGGGGTCTCATAGGAAAGTCTTGGTCAAGAACAATGATATTTTGAGTGATTTCAGCAATGAATTTTTGTAGCAAAGTTGGCAGATGACACAAAGACTGTTGGAAAGGGAGAGGCTCTATCTGCAGAGTAATCAGCTCCTTCAGTAAAACTGGAGATACAGAAATTGAGAGGGGAAAAAAAAAGGAAGTGGGGGGAAGGAAGCCTGTGGGTCATATTTCAAGGTGAGAGATTCTGCATAGTAAAGCAGTGATTTATGGGAAAACTTAGATATTTTGTGTAGTATAAGCTATGTATCCCCTGAGTATTGTCCTGAGGTAAGTCCCCTCTTGAAAAGGAATACAACAAGTAGAAATTTCGAAATGTTCAAGCAGCACTGATAGCACTGTTAGAAAAATTTCCAGTTCCAGCGCCCACATTTCAAGATGGATCTGGAAACAATGGAGCAAGTTTAGAAGTTAAAGCTGAACGGATTATCTGTAGGTTGTATTTACAGTATGTGGTGTGAACTGTTAGCATACTGAAGGCAAGTTTCAGAGGTGACCTTAATCACTGAGTGTAGGTACTTGTGTCTGAAGAAGAGGTTTGATATGTGGCTAGGCAATGCTGAAAGTTGGAGTCAAAGAATTGAACCTCAGAACAAAACAAGATTTTGTAACACTAAGGAGAATTAAACATTTCCTACTAATATGGGGAAAAATAGTGTATTCAACAGTGCTTGAGTAATGAGGCAAGATACACTTTTGATCTACCTCCTTGTGTTCTAGTATAGCATTGGGGTTGCTGCTATATAGATAAATAGGGTTGCAAAACTAAAGGAAGAAGATATCTGTTTGTGAGATGTGGTGTATGTAAAATACGTTATATTATACATATGTGTATATACACACATGCATTATATACTTTTTTTACTCTGCTTTTTCAGTCTGTATATATGAGTTCTTGTGTTGCCCTCCTTCCTTTATGAGCCCTGCAGATACTGAAAACATTTGCAGCTCAGGAAGTACTTACTTTTTTTCCCCCAGGAAATAAATTGGTTTCCAGAATCTGCTTAAACTTTCTGTGAAGCATGCTGTGGACAGGATAATGATCAAGTGACTCTGTGCTCTGTGGTTGTACAGAAAATCCTTTGTGCAGCCTCACTGGTGTGTCTTGCTGTCAGGCTCAGGGTCACACCAGTAATCGGATTTGGAATCAGGGAGAATTTCCTCCCAAGTGAGATTGGCAGGGAGAAGGTATCTGAGGATATGTAGGAAAAGTATCTTGCCTGTCATTGTAGCTGGCAAGGCTGTTAATGATACTCTGTTTCTTTCTGTGTGTCTGTTAGAGTTTTAGATTTTTGAGATTTGAAAAATCCTCTTACTTAAGATTTTAGGTTTGTTATAGAGCACTTGGGCAATCTCTGATGGTTTGCAGTATAAAGAAATCAAATCTGATGACCTAGGGTCCCAATCCTATGAAATCAAAGTGCCTTTTTGTTTGTACCTTCCCCCTTTTCCATCTGCAGATGGACAGAGATGCTTCATTTTAATGTGCCAGATCATGAAAGAAATACCATCAGAGCTTTATTATTAACCCTTTTCATTCCACTGGGAACTAGGAAATATGTCCTTGTGCCCACGTTCTGGCTCTCCAGTACAAGCTAGAAGAAAATGCTTGGTAGATTGATGAAGTTAAAATGCATCCTGACCTCTTCAGTTTGTACCTTTTTCCCCTATAAACCAGTTAGGAGGAAAAAACTGAATTATCAGTGCCACCTGTACTTCAGATGTGGCTTTCATGGGAAGTCACTTAGAGTTTGTGCCCTTCTGTAAGTACACAGAGAGAGTATATTCTGTAAGAGAATATATTTTTAAAACAGTTAATTTTTGTCTGCCTGGCAAGAGTGGTTTCCCTGTGTTTTTAAAGAAAAATAATTTTGGAAATGTTTAGCTTTTAAATGACTTTCGCTTGAGGAGCTTTCAATTTGGTGTTTGAAGCGGTGTATTAATCAAGCTGATGAAAGGATATTAGTAATCCTTAGGTGTGCTATAGTTGCATGATTTGAAGAAATCTGTGATGAAAAATTATTTTATTTTTGTTACACATTTTCAGTAGGAATTGACAGAAAGCACTGCATATTGATTCCTTACAGCTGATAAACACAGCTGCACCCAGACCTTATGGTTTGTTGTACTAGCAATTTTTTCCAAAGCTTTTTTTTCTGTTCATGATTAAATTTTTACGTTGCAAGACAGGTTTTGATTTTTTTCCTTCCTTTACCTTTTTTACCTTTTATATCTATCTTATATCTGTTCACAAAGTACAGGTGGGGATTGCATTACGAAGTAAAAAATTCTAACAATTTGTTGTTGATAATTCTAACAATTCATATGGAATAAGGGAGCTGAATCATATATGATCCTTTGGAAAATGAACAAACCAGAGGTTTAATTATTCTGCATCTAATAAAAGAATATCAGGTTTGTTGTTGTTTTAGTAAATAGGTTAAATTACACTAACAATGTACAAAGTTAATTAAATATGTAATTATTATGGTTACTGTCTTGTTTAGTGAGAACTACGGTAATTGAAACAGATGTCTATGTTAACAGCATTGGCCCAGTTGACCCAATCAATATGGTAAGTTCTGATTATTGACAGAAAACATTGTCTGAATGATGCTATGGGTTAATATTATGAAATAATTCTAATCTCATTCCAATACGTTTCTTTATTTCTTACTGTGTATTCTTATGCTGTTGAATATGATTGTGATTATTGCAGAAACACGTTTAGACTCTCTCTATTTGAAATTGTTGTAATTTTAAAAATAGATTTCTTCTTTATAAAAAATAAGGCCACACAGAGGACATTGTATCAGGTCCTTATTTTGGTTTGTGTTGAACATTTTCACTATGTTTGCTTATACCTGGTTTATCTCTGGCCCAGTATAATCTCCTGGTGCTACTCTTCAGAGGTTAAGAAAAATAACAGTTGACCCAGCATTTGTAAATAAAACTATTTTCAGTGCAGTGATTTATTACTATTTTTCAAATTCATAAAAAGAAATATTTGAAATTAACTCTTTTGTCCTCCTTTTTCCATGTCTTATTTAGCCTTATGGGTCTTCTTCAGTGTGTGTATGTGTGTACACATAGCTGGTTTCTTCAGAAGTTAAGCAATGCATCTTATCTAGGTTCCGGTAGGCCTGTTGAGATCTGACCTATCTATTTGGTACCAACACTGAAGTAACAGCATTTATGAGGAAGCTGAGTCTGTGGCCTTTTCTTAAATCGCTTAGATTTTCTGTGCATTGTATGAAATGGTGTGTTGGAGGCCTTAGAAAGGCCTTGTTGCATGACTTCTCCTGGGGACTGCTGCCCAGGCCTAAGACTGGGACCGGCCCTTGGGCGAGTTTGAGCTCAGCCCTCTCCTTCCTTTTTCCTTTTCCTCCTCCCTACAGAATTGCTGACAGTGTTGAATTTGCATGGCAGGGAAGAGTTTTGTTCAAACTGAGGCTGGAGTATGCCAGTGCAGGGGGCTTCTGAGCATTTGGTGAAAGCACAGTAATTCTCGATTAAGTATCTTGTGGTTTACATGTATGTCATCGTGCTTGGGTGGCGAATATCGACTTTCAGCGATGGGAAGCCACGCAGGAAAAAACAGTGGTACTTAGATACTATGGATAGAGGTGCCAAAACTAAATGATGCAGATGGATATTCATTCCAGCATAATGGTCTGACAGGCTTAGGGTTGTCATTACCTGGGGCTGTGGCAGGGAAGTCCATGTCTCAGGCCAGGGCTGTATGTAAAGAAATGCGTGAAAGAGCAGAAGAGTGGTGGGGTGGGGGAAGCTTTTCAATTTCCATGTCTGGTATAAGTGGTGTCTTTGGTTTTGTCTGTCTTCCTACTGCAGTCGTTCTCTTTTGCTTCTCTCCATTCTATCGTCTTCTGAAGGAACTTATTGCGGGAGCAAAATGTGTGGACAGGCAACTACCTGTAAGGAGGATATAGCAAATGGTAGAGGCTTCCTTTTCCGGTAACCAATGTAAGTCCTTCAGCCTGTGGCCACTAGGTATTGCATACACTGGAACTCAAAATGAGAAATGCTTACAGCTTCAGTTTTCCAGTTTTAAAGAACCAGCATGTGGCTGGCCTTGCAGGGTAGGCTTGCCCCATCTCCCCTGCCCTCTTTTTGTCTCTGCAGCCCCGGGCAATCTCCCCACTGCTATGTACCGTGGCCTCTCCGGTGCCCACAGCTGCCTTCTGCTTGCTCAGCCCAGAGCCTGGGAGGCAGAATTATCATGTGCCACACTTGCAACAATGACAGTATCAGCCATGGGACTATTTCATGTCACTTGTTTAGAGGTCTCTCCACATCTGCTAGAGCTGTCCTAGAGCTGGGTGGTGATGCTTTTGCCAAGGTGCTAATAAAAGCCAGTCATATTGGCTTTTAGTCCAAGGCGTAAGGATAGCACTGTATTGAAAAGGCATATTATTTCATTAGAGAGCAAGATCCTAATGGTTATAATGTATATCAACTGAATGTTTATCCCTCTCACCTTCTGATTTCTGTTAACAAAAAAAGATAACAATGAAGCGTGCCACCAAAGGGTAATAAGGTAAATATCATTAAGACAGAGAACTTTAAAAACAATTTTATGGTTTTTAAAAATGGGCAGAGAACTACTTAACAATTTAAATTATAGTCTAAGGGCACTATGGCCTTCACAGAAGAGCAATTTCTTTCGCTGGGCTTGGACTCCAGGAACCTGGGTCATATGAGCATCTAACATCACTACAAAAATCAAATGTTTGTGAAAGTAAATAAAACCGTATACATGCAAATAATTTGATTAAGGTTTCAAAAAAAAGATGTTTTAAATCTGGGAAATGACATTCTCAGCAAAAAAAAAATAATTACAGATTTGACCCTGTAAGATCTCTTTATGTGAGCTGTTGGTTTCATTAGGAAGGCACTTTCCCTGGAGTCAATATTGTTTGAGATTGTTAACCAATAATCCAAAAATTGCTTCCATTTCAAGGGCTGTCCTTAGCCCTTCATTTCATCACTTAATGTGAGAACACATATCTGTGATTCCCCATTGAATTACTCATTTGCCAGATATGTTAATTCACTCTGGCAAATGATGTCCTTTAACTATTTAGTTTGGATACAATATGGCATGATGTAGAGAGCATTTTTTCTTACAATGATGCTGAAGCAGCATATCAAGGGAATTTGTTTGTCTGAAAGCTTCAGAGGACACATATTATGAGAGGAAATGGATTTCTTTTTATAATTCAGTCTGTTTTCCTCTTGCTATCTGATAGACTTTTACCTTCATAAAAAGGATGCTTTAAGTGTATGTCTAATATTCATTAGAATTTGTTTTTGAAGGCTGTTGTGTTTTGACTTTCACTATTTAACAAAGATCTACACAAAATTCTAGATGGTATAGACAATCCATGCTTAAGAGATGTTTTTCTACAGCATGTGATCTCTTCAGGCATCCACAACCTGAGTAAACATTTTTAACAAGTGTCTGGATCAGTGGAGTATTTAGGCTTCTAATACTCATTAAGTCTAAAGATTTTTGAATCTGTCTTTTAGAGCTAAGCTGTGCTATGCATCATGCAACAATCATGTAAAATGCAGCTAAGTGCATTTTTATGGCCAAAGTCTTGATCCTCAATAGCTCTGCAGTGGTTTAGGGATTTCTTAGCAGAATTTAGACATGCGTTGAATATTTAGAGCCTGGTTTTCCTCTGTATGGAAGCTCATTCAGTTGAGCACTTAATGTAGATGTACTAGGCTCTTACTACCTTTCTCTTTCCTTCCAAACTAGGGCCAAGATGAAAAAAAACCACTCTGGTGGTACAAGTAGCAGAGTCTGATAAATGGTCCCTGTGTAGAAATGCATATTGATCCACGTTGCCTGCAGGCCTCATTAGCTTTCTCTGCCCTGTATTCATCCCCCAAACCCTATGTTTTCATAAATACATAACGTTTTGTGCTACTGGTGCCCCAAGGGTTCCAGGGCAGAGCCATGCCAGCACCACAGCTTTTGTGGTTTGACAAGACCATGCAAGTGTGCAATTCAGTGGGTTGGGAGAGGCATGGCAGCCCTCCAAGACATTTTTACCTTCCTTTAACTAAGAGAATACCTGATCTTGTAATTTCTGTTTGATGAAAACTGTCATGACAATACAAGACTGCTACCCCAAATGAGAGAAATTTTTGGAGAAGGAATACAGGAGCAGTTCCTTAAGTAAGAAGCAGTATTGCATCATTGTGTTAAAAATTAAGAGCAAAGAGAAAAGTTTATACTTTCCCTGTTCTTAATGTCTATTTAATCAAGTTTCATATAGTAAATAGCTGAGCAATACCCAAGTAACAAAAATGGGGAAAGGGTTAGGAAGAGGGAGATAATGTCTATAGAGAAGCATAGACATCATGACTGATAGATTAAAAACTATTCAAAAGAAAATGCTCTACCTATGTCTATATCTGTCTGTAAGTATATATATAAAAAAAGGTATGTTTACAGAAAAAAATTTATGTTTTAAAATTCCTTTGCTTTTTCATGTGTTTCTAAGTCATGATTTAATATTTTGAAATATTATGGTATCATTGCCCTTTTAGTGTGTTTGAGGACTACATATTCCTTTCTTCCCTTGATGTGGATGCAGATGATGCTCTCTATTCAGCTTTTGTATTTATTAATGGAACTTACTATTAGAAGGTCCAGGCTGAAAATGCCAGGATAAATTTCTAGGACTGCACTTCACTGAAGCAGTTCAGTTTCCTTGTTATTTTCCAACATTTCTGTCTCTTCTGTGGATGATTTAGCTTTTGTTGCATGATCTTTGCTAGTTATCCTTTGAAGGCTACTGTGACTGCAAGCTGAAGGCCATACTTTGAAGCCTAGCACTCTTATTTTTAACAAGACAGCTAAACCACTGAGCAGATCAGATATTCACAGAATATACAATGTACTACTTTGGTACACAGACTGCATGGCCTAGACACTGTTAGGATGCAATTTTTCCTGTCATATTGTACCATTTATGACTTTGTGTAGAATGTGTTGATGGTGAATTTTAAGTATCCTTTGGCTTCTGAATTCCATTTCATTCTCAAGTTGCAGTAAAAAGCAGCGGATTTTTTTTTTTTTTAAATTCAAGTGTATTCAAGTGTCAATGTGATCAGTATCCTAATACAGATTGCTCAATGTTGTTGTATTTGTGGAGGATGCTTTGTGGTCAGGTGTGTCACTGTGCATATTCTACTAGTCACTAGATTTGTATTGAAGGTTTGAAGGTTTTGTACTCTTACTTTACAGTGCCAGGTAATTTACATTAAGCACAATATAAGTAATTGTGACCCAAAGATACATTATCTGAAGCTACCTCGAAATCCAGTACTCAAAGGTTCACATGCTTTGTGTGCATTATTCTGTAAACTGATGTATTTTTAATGCTGTTTTTGAATTATATTGAATGTTTTGTTACTGAATGAACAGTAACTACCATAAAGGAAAGATGAGGCTTAGAAAGAGACAGAAATAGATACTGGAATTAGCAAGGCCCTGATCCTGCAGATACCTACGCATGTACTTCAGTTTACATGTGTGAA